AATCTAAAAACCGATTACTTGAAAACGAGATTAATGGTTAATTTTTGGAAATGGGAGTTTTTAAATGCAATCTACTGAAGGATATTCAACCAATGTTATGTAAACATCTATATTCTGCGTTTTTTGTTGTTTTTGTGGGGTTTTTTCAGAGTCGAGAAGCAACTTAGAAACTCAGGTTACGGAACTGAAGAACTCCGACGAAGAGGATAAGTTTGTTCTTCAGTGATCAAAGTACGGAAGTGTTTTAGTTGTTTTTTTCTACTTCTCCCTAGTTCCTAGTTTGACAAGTCGTTTCCACACCTGTCATTAAAGTTAAAAGATAGACAGACTGCCACAAGGAAACAAAACTCATTGTTTTTAGCAGTGACAATCTAGTAAAATAATACTCGTTAAACCTTACATTACAAAATATTCATAATTAAAAACTGAAATATGCCAGCCAGTGAAAAGTAAAATAGCATTATTTGCATATTTAAGTTTTAAATTTTTCTATCTTAATTATTATGTATCTTCTTTGAAACAACGTAATCTGTAACACCAATTTTCCGTTTAAACTAACATAATGCCTTTGAAGCTGGTCCACAGTGGCTCAGTGGTAAGTCTGGATGCATATAATCCCTAAAAACCAGGTATCGGTACTTGTGGCGGGTACAGCACAGATAGAACATTGTATAACTTTGAGCTTAACAACAAATAAACAATTAAAGCCTTTGAAATTCCCTAGTTATGTCAAGCTGCTGATGTCGTTTGAGCTTTGTGGTAGATAAAGAAGGAATATTTAAGTGTTTTGATAGTGTTTATCATTACCTCTACTACTTAGACACTTCTACCACACTAGCCTTAAAATTCACTATTTAGGTATCACTTTATAAAATACATAGGTTTTTACCCAAACAACCAATCATGTTTCAGAGTTTTCACTCGACATATCTCTTGTGGACTTTGTCATTGTCAAACTCATAGGAATATGGAAATAAATATAATTCACTATACAACGTTTGGCAAAGACAATGCATCTATTCCTTGTAGGTACATATTCGGTTATTGTTCAAAGTAAGGGATAGGAAAAAAGTTTCCTATTCCGTTTGAATGGAATCCCCGGGTAACGGATGACTTATTATATAGAATTTATAGTAATTTAGCTCACTGTAAACGGCTCATACTTACACTACTAATTAACATTTGAACAACGAAAGTTGATTTAAAAATTATGCCATTTATTACTTTTTACGTCATTGAACCTGGCTACAGTTTAAATTTTAATATTTTGTTCTTGTAAGTCTAATAAAGCTGTGTTGAAAATAAAAACAATCAATACTTGTGCTTACTTCAAGAAAAACATTCACAAACATCTTCTCTATAAATTTACAGAAAACATAAAATAGCATGAAAATATCGTTTGTGGAAAAATAATGAGCAAGACTATTTTTATAAGAAAAATCATTCTTATACACTAAATTTAAACTTAAGTTAGAGCTAACGATCAGATCAGGCAAGCGGTATCACTGCCTATGTATGGATAGCTCGGATTTTTAATCGAAATGGTATTTTAAATATATCCTCAATAGGTCATCAGAACTTTACAATATTATACAGTGTTTCCTTTTATAACAATATCTATGTCATGACTGAGTCACAAGTTCTGTGAATGTCTGTAATAAATATCATAGCAAAAAGTTTGAATTTCTTGTTCTTCTTTCTTTCTGTATTACGTGATAACTCAAAAATCAAAACAAAGATATCAACCAATTTCACTGAGGTGACAGTTTCAAACGGGTTATCCGCTTTTATTAGTATTATTAACTAGTAGTAATTTTTCAAAAATCATAATTCTAGTGTAAACGATGTTATCATACCCCCTTGAAGTTAGCTTATTTACTGAACTTCTGTGTTCCTATAAAACGCTTAAGTACAGGGTAAAACAGGAATAACCAGCCAATAATAGATAAACAATACATATTACAATTGGAACATCATTGTATTTAGAACTTGGTTATAAATACAACCTTCCTATGTCTATTGAAACACTCCATTAAAAAAAAGCAAACAAGTAAAGAAAAAACTTTTCCAAAAAGAAAGTAAACGTAGAGATGGCTAATATCAATCCTTCAAAAACAACGCAAAAATATGGTAGGTACATAATAGCACAGAAAGGAATTAACATATAGCAATATATACAACTATTCAATCACAATTGAATTGAATTTATCTTGTTTTTGTCTGTTAACATTCTACTAAACTGTGTGCCTGTGCTATTATGTAGGGATGATGCAAATGCTATCTCTACTATCTTCTTTGCATTGTTTTTGAAGGACTGATATTAGCCATTCCTAGAATTAATTCCTTTTTGAAAAGTTTTATTTACTTGTGTATAAAATTAGTACATTTATATCTTGATACATGTCAACTCTTTGACATGTATGATATCAACACTTTGACATGCATACTGAAACATTCTACTAACAGTCATATAGATTAGATCGACGGAGACTAATGCAACCTATATAAACTCATACTGAACTTACCATTTCAAATCTAACAAGTTCAAATGTACAAGAAAAATATGATTAGAATTTCATCGGCATGTTTCTTAGCCTGTACCTAAAGTCTTTGACTAAGAAATTTAGTTTAAGAATAAATTCGACAAACAGTATAGAATGCCATAAAAATATCTAAATAGGTTTATAAAACCCCAGAGAGTGAAATGATCAGAAACGGAAGGTTTTTTGGACAAAGCACTGCTTCAAAAGACTATACCCTGGATATTTTATTTTTCTAAGCAATCATCATACAGTACAGTGAAGATATGGGAATGTCATGATTACTGTATAGCTACAACTCGATTTCCAGAAGATCAACGAGAGCAAAAAGAGCTTTGCGACCCTGACTTTCAAAGTTGTCTAGCAATTTTTTACTATGGGAGATATCCGTAAGATATCGGATGATAGCTGATCAGTTAACGAAGTTTATGATAGCTGATACCAGAAGATGTAACACCTGGTGCATCAACAGTTTGCAAAACTGAAGGTGATAGTTAGAAGTCCGAAAATTCATCTAGAACCAATGCAGGATCTTTTCTGAAGTAATCCCAGCACCTTTGGTTTCAGTTGATATTTTCGCCTTGCTCATTGAAATCTGTCTAGAAAATGACATGTTAAGCTGTTTAGGACAAGATTTCCAACAAAATTATTGAATATCAATGGGAAGTCCATTATCTCCAATAGCTATTTAGTATCCTTATGGAGTATTTTTAAAGTGAATCACTTCTACCAACAGGCAAGAGCAGCATGAAGATTTCATGGTTGTTTAGGTAGGTGATATCTCTTTTTTTATTTGATCAAATCATAGAAACTTTTTCAAAAAATCAATCTTATCTTCTTAACAGCACCACAAAGTTTAAGGTTGATTGGGCAATGCACAATTTGCTTTCTTTTGGACATATCCTTATAACTGAGATAATACAGTTAATACAGATAATACCTGCTCTGTCTATATACTGAAAGCCAATAAACCTTCTCATTTATGTACAATTTTTCTCATGCACTAGAGAAATATTTAAGCATCTATTACAACCTCTACATTTATAAGAGCCTACAAAATTGCCACTTTTCGATATTAAATAAAAAATTTGAAACATCATGTGAGTGTGAAGGATTTACAATATCCCATTCAATTAATCGAAAATGCTCGTTTAAAAGCCAGAGAGCCTTTTTTTAAAAATAAGGGACAAATGCAAATAAAATATGCTCCGCTTATACTACAGCGAAAAATTTGGATTCATAGAGAGAATCCTAAAATAAAATGATTTTTTTCCTACTTAAAAGTACCCCAATACTATTAAAAATATCTTGACTTCAAACTAAACCAAACAAGAAGATAGAATACAAGGGTCTATGTTGTTCCATGCTAATCATGTGAAAGTGTTTACATTGGTAAAACAGGAGAAAATTCGAAAACAAAAATAACAGAACACAAAAGGGACATTAAAAATTACGAATAATGCAAGAGATTTGACCACCCTGTGTATTGGAAATCAGCCAAAATAATATATAAAACAGAAAATTACATTGAAGGAGAAATTGTTGAAAGCTGTATTATTAAAAGTGCATCGAATTTTAACTTCTCTTAAGGTCATTTCAAGCTTAATTGTTTATCTACTTGGGTTAATAAATTTATCAAAATCCTCTAATCAAAGAAATTGCATAAAATTTGTTCAACAAATTCAAATGCCTGTTGCATAGTCACTGAATTGATAAATGAGATACATGTAACTAAAATTAATATAGTTTCCCAAATTCTTAACATATCTGTAGCTGTACTAGTCTACATCTGCATCAAGTGCTAGTCTATTAGGATCTTTAAAACTTACTTTCTCAACGTTCATAATAGTGAGTATACTAGTTAGATATCATGTTGGTACATACTATTGGAAACTTTACTTTGTTCATATTCTCAATCGGGTGTTGAATAGCTTTGGATACACATGTTTTTAAATATAATCGTGGTCAATAAATAAAAAATATCAAATCCTGATCAATAAGCTTTATTGGTTTTGCAATAGAGTGTTCATTGGCATGTAAAATGAAAACATATACTTTGTGAATAGTTTCATACATTTCAGTGAAAATATAGTACATGTACACATGATATTTTACACTATCATACCTAGGTAACCTAGCTAACATAAACGATGTAGGTATAAACGCTGTAATCTCATTTTCTGCGTGTATGTTGTTTACAATAAATGCTATTCAATCCCACCGTTCAAAAACACAGGCAAGATATCTTTGTAAAAAAATTAAGCAGTCCTAGGATAATTTCCATCCAAGCAAGATCTCGATGAACTGGAAACACATACACAAGGCTAGGATACCAAACGATGAAATCACACACATCCTTATTAGTAAGATACAAGTTTCCTTGGACTTGGTAGTAATATTTATACCCAGTAGAATCACTGATGTTCAGCTTTAGTATGCTTTCGTTTTCTGGATCTCTTCTCAAGAAATATCCTCTGTCCACGTGGTCAAGTAACGGCGTGGTGCACTACTGTAGGGACACTTCACTTCTATAATGGTGGTAACACTTACAACACCATCAGGTGATCCACCCAAAGCTCCAAACGGATGTACCCACAAAACACTCTCCTGAACTTTCTGGTTAGTAAATTCTTCATAGGTAGATATAGCAGCTTTTTCGTGTTGAATTCCCCATTGTATGGCTGTCACACCTTCGATGTCGTTTAATCCTAAAAGTCTTTTCAAAAGTGACTTACTTGGACGTCGACGAGAGTTAATAGCCTTTATTACCAAACTAAAGTCAGAAGCTGTGATGCGAACCTTACGATAAAGAGACCACATGGAATTCATTCTCTGACCCCGAGTTTTTACTTCGATATCCTGACCATGTTTTATGGACAACTGGATATTTTGGTATACAAAATAAACTGGGTTCTCGGCTTCTGTGTACTCCTCTCTTGTCACAATATCTTTAACAGTTGGTTTGGCAAGTCTGAAACCTCTGGTTCAGGGGACAAATACTACGCAACTCCCTTGAGATTATTGCTTAATGTAAGCTCCTGGAGGTACCAACTGATATCCACATCATCAACTGGTCTTGTTAAGGCTTTGACATTTTCGGAAGAGTATATTTCATCAACGGTCCTGTAATAAGAGAGACATTATTAATGATAGGTTCTGTAATAGGATAAGCTCATTCATTCTCCTGTTTATTGTGCCCAATGGCACAAGGGGCAGAGGACCTATTGTCATGGTGCATCGTCTCTCGTCTGTTCGTCCGTTGTTCAGCCATTGAGCCATCCATCTTCTATTTTTTCTTCTGTATTGGGGATTTAAAAAACTATATTGACTTCACGTGTAGAAACGTTGGTTGAATCTACTGATTTACTTATTTATTATTATTTTTCTTTCTTTTGCTATTTTTTATTTTTTATAAACATTTTATCTTTAAAGCCAGTTACGTTTAATCAAATAATACTTTATGAGGAAGCACCCTCAGATCCTAAGGCTCTGTTTTATTTAATTCAAATATGTCAAGGTCGTATCACTTTGTTTCTTGTTTGTTCTTCCTATTGAGGCCTGGCATGGCTAGATTGTTAGGGCGCTTGTCTAGCAATCTGTGGGTTGCGGGTTCGAATCCCTGTCCCACCAAATATGCTCGCCCATTCAACCATGACGGCGTTATAATGTGACAGTCAATCCCACTATTCGTTGGTAAAAAGTACCCCAAGATTTGGCGGTGGGTGATGATGACTAGTTGCATTCCCTGTAGTATTTCACTGTTATATCTCTGCTTGTTTGATAGTTTCCCGTATAAATACTTTCCGAGAAACTTCAGCGATACAAGTCCTTTCTTAATTAAAACTAGTTTATTCTTTCTCGTTACAAACTTTGTAATACACTTAATTTCCACAGTCACTTTAACTTAGCTATAATTCACAGCGATTTACACAGTTTACTTACGGCTTGACTCGATTATCTGTTTCTATATCTCCCTATCTGCAATTGTTCCTTCGCTTTATTTGCCGGCTTATATACTAAAATAGAGGGCGCGTAGAAAAGACTAGAGTTGCCAGTAAGAGACCTGATCCTTCTAGAAACTCATGACGTGTTACCAGCGTCACGTGACTTCCGCTGTCGTAACAATATATACAGGGGCGTCGTCAGAATGTACTTCATAGGGGACACTCTGTTTTGTAGGAAGGGTACCTGGTTTCATTAATACTAGTTTAACTCACTTAGTGTGAAAAGTATATAAGTCAAGCAAAATAACCTTAGGTTAAATAAATTATACTTGCTAAAATAGACAGACAGAAGAAGATGTGTACACCAAGTTGACTGCTCCTGCTTGGAAGAGGAAGCTTAAGAAAATAGATTCTTTGTCGTGATGCAAGCAGCCCAAGACTACGTCCCATGCAGTATTCAGGACTCCATCACAAGAGACAGTCAACAAGCTTGTGATTAACTTCATCACTCATAGCATTCAACTCTTTAACATCGTTGAGTTACCAGCTTTCCAACAATTTGTTCATGGACTCCAGCTTTTATATAATCTCATTACAAGGAAGACTGTTTGCTCAAAGATCAATGATGCTGATGAATCTACGAAGAAAATGTTATTTATGCAATGAGTAAAGTGGAGTATATTGCAACCACCACAGCTGCTGGAGAGCAAGAAGATGTAGCTACATTGATATGACCACTCACTGAATAGATCCCGAGAGTTTAGAGAGACAGTCTGCTGCATTGGCATGTAGACGTTATAAGAGATCTATTACCTTTGATATCTTGAACAGTACCTTAAATGACACCCACTCTGAGTTTCGGATTAGGAATAAGATTCTCAAGATCAACTCTGATAATGGCTCGAATTTTATCAAAGCCTTTAGAGTGTATGGGGGTTACAGTACAGTGGAGAACAAGGAAGATCATTTACAAGGTAATAAGGCCATGGAACAAATGACTGAGTATCAAGAGGGACATTTTGGAGAAGAATTCGAGGACATTGGTGAGGATGAAGTCGAGTTTTAGGACATTGCAGCCATTTCAGAGAAGGATAACAGCCTCGAGTGCCAGCTCGCAAAACATCAATGCTGTGCTTGCCTTTTGTCGAACTAGCATCAACTGTGAATATCAGGGAGGTTGAATCTAATGATGCTTACTATAAGAAGCTTTCAGGATCAACATTTTCAAAGTGCCAAGCACTTTGGAACAAAACTGGTGATCAGTACTAGCCTCAGAAACTGTTAATGATCAAGACCAGTTACAATTTATTCGCCACAATCAGACTCAATTTGGAGAATATCTTGTGGATTCGCAATTAGAAATGAAACATCAGGAACATTTGTGCTGAATTTGAGATAAAAATATGAGTAACATTTACAGAATTCTTTTTACCTTGTGGCTATTTTACATGTTAAATAATAATAATTATATTTGACATTATGGTGCTTCTATGTTCTACCCAATTGAATCTAGAATTGGTATTATCTGAATGAATCCTTGTAAACAGTTGTGACATTTCCTGTGATGTATATTCTATTCCTACATATTTTGTGATTTACTAATTAATCTTTTTTAAAGCATGATTCCATTTTTTTCTTATTGTGTAATTTGTTTTATATTAGAGTATTTGATTAAAGTCATGGAAATTGATAGGTTGAATCCTGTGGAGCTGGCATTCCTGACAGAGTACTATATCATCATGAAACCCATGGCCAAGGCACTGGGTTTCCTATAATCTGAAAAAACATAAAAATGGGGTGGATATTGCCTACAATTTACTTGCTGCTGACGAAGCTTGGAAAGATCCAGTTCTCAACTAAGCTTTGTACACCACTTGTAGGCGCTGTGGAATATGGTATCAAGAACCGCTTTGATCACATGATGGAGGATGTAGAGCTGATCACTGCTGCAATTTTGTTGCTGAGGTTCAAGATTGCATAGATGAAGAATAATAGAATTATCAAAAAAGGTTAGAGAATGTGAACCTAATTTCTCTTTCTTTATTTCTTTTTAGCATTTCATTACCCACTCGCAATGGAAATGTGTACTAGATTTTGTTTGCTATTAGGATTCTTAACAATTCAAAAGCATGCATTTTTTTATAGTAATACCAATTTACATTACAAAAATGAATAATGCTAATAGAGCCTAACCCACCTAAGGAGAGATTTAATCAAAATTTCTGTTATCAAATCTCTACTATTAGTAAATGCAATTTCTGTGTCACGTTTATTGTGTAGTATTGAACTCTGTTATGTATATTCTCCCCATTTTGGCTATAATTTCTATGTCAGGTCTGGAGTACACCAGGCAGCAAGCAGAAGCATCGACAGAAATTCTGGATCGGGATCCCCACAACTGCTCATCAGATGATCAAGATTTCTTTTCGTCTCTGACGACCTGTACCAATAATGAGATCAGAGCAGAGTATGGCCTCGTATTTACATATGAAGGTAAATTTACACGAGTTAGAGTTTAGCTGATGAAGGAGCATTTAAAATTATTTGATCTAGTTATATATTATTCAATATTACTTTGGTTACTAAATACATTTTTTTCTTACAAATGCTGATGCAGTGAGTGAAGAAGCTCGACTCTATATCACTAATGGGTCATTTATAAAAATGTGAGAGTTGTGAACCTTGTCTCAAGTATTGACATTTTAAGTTTAAGTATCGTACAGATGTTATCTGGTAATGTAACTTGTGCACTAAGGAAACTGCAGCTCTGTGGTGAAACCACAAAATTTCGACCAAAATATGCACAAGAGCAGTGGACTGTTCGAATGTATGAAGATTATGTCATTACAATTCCATATAATATAATATAAGTGTGCTTACTAACACAGTCTCAGACTGTGCCACCAAATAATGCTGTGGTTTTCTTGCTAGACCAAGTTGCACTTCGTAGGAAAATTTTCTCTCTAAGAGCAATTTATACTGTGGTTAAGATCTGTACCTAGGGCAAACAAGCAGTAAAGATACCAACTGAAATAACTGTTGACACGGTGCAGCAAAGGGAAGTTACTGATACGAATGGTAAAACTAATATTACCTGATTTACACGAAGCTAATAAACAAATGCGTTTGCTAGTACACCTGAGATTACGGATTAAGATTTTGCAGATAATCTAAGTTCAGATAAGCATAGAATACTTATGAGGCTACTAATGCAACTTGCAAGTATATATGTCAGAACAGATGGTCTTCCCAGCATCATAGCCCCATATCTGATAAAGCAATATCTTCAAAAGGTTCCATCAGGAATGTAACAGCACTGAGATAGATATATCATACAGTCTTTAGAGAGTGCTTGGTTATCACAAGTAGTAATCGTAAGAAATAAAGGACCTCAAGTAGATGGACACTGTAACATTTGTTGATGCACTTTCGTTGCCACGCATGGATGAATTTTCTTATGCTTGGAATGGATCACATTGGTTTGGTCTATTAGATTTCACCTATGGCTACTGGCAGGTCGAGTTAGATGAAGAATGTAGAACAAAGGCTTTTTTTGAGATCAGAGAAGTCTTATGTGGGTTTGCATCATGTCATACAGCCTCTTTAATGCACCAGCTACTCTTAAAAGGCTTATGGAACTTACATTGCATGGTTTGTAATGGGAATAGTGCTTAACAAGATCACCCGATGTTGTTGATTTGGCCATTGATATAAAGGCTGGTGTAATCAGGGAGAAAGTTAGACCTTTTGTGTCTATTGGTTCTGTGTCTTTGAGAAATGACACTGGCAATCCCATACCCATATGTTATTCTACGTGATACTGGGGTGTCTCAATCATTGTTGTTAGAAGGTGTATTGACTTTAAATTCGAGTTCTGCCACTGGT